GCCAGCCACCCCCGCAGTCAGTCCCCACACCTCGCTCTCGTCCATCGCGTCCACCATCGCCTGCAGCGAATGCTCCGAGGGAAGCGCCTCCGTGTCCTCGTCCACCAGAGGCGCGCCCTCCGTCGCGTCCACGCCCGCCTCGTACGCCGCGTTGCCGATCGTGGCCCGGCCGCACATCGTGTACCACACGCCATACGCTTCGGCGTGGCTCGCTCCGAGGGCGGCGGTCGCGCCCGCCGCCATCGCTTCCCCGGCAACCGCCGCGCCGGCCGGACCTGGCGCCACCTCGCGTCGCCAGCGCAGCCGCAGCTGCACCGCGTCGCCGCACCGCTCGCAGCGCAGCGCCTCAAAGTCGTGGGCCGAGTCAGGCCAGGGGATGGCGGGGCCGTCCTCGCCGCACTCCTCTGAGCCGCACGTGAGCGAGCAGAGCTGCTCGCAGCGCTCACGCACGTGGCCGTACGTCCCCTGCCGCGGCCGCTTCCGCGGCAGCACGTGCAGCGCGCCCACTCGCAATATCGACCCCTGCAGCGCGGCCGGCAGCTCGCGCAGCGCCCGCAGCTCGGCCGTCCGGTCCCTCCGATCCAGCCCGAACGCGATCGCCTCGTCCTCCGACCGAGGAGCCCACGCGTGCGTGCTCAACATCGCTCGCCGCAGCGACGGAGTGGTGCGCAGCCGCTGGAGCCCCTCTTTGTACAGGCGCAGCCGGTACTCCTCGACCGCGCGCTCGCGCGCCTCACGCGTCCTATTGTAGTGCCGCACCCGCGCGGCCTCGTACCTGTCCGCCGCGTCGCCGTGGCCGGCGGCGCGCGCCTTCGCCTTGGAGCCCCACGGCAGGTCCGCGACGCCCAGCAGCGCCGCCAGCTCGCGACGTGCCCCTTCCGCCTCGGGAACGCGCGTCGCCGATAGCGCCGACTGCGGCGCCCGCTCGACGCTCTCCAGCGCGCCGCGCCGCATCCAGTACGCACCGAGGTCGCGCGTCCGAAGGTCGGCGCGGTAGACCCGGTCCATGGTCCGCGAGTTCACCTGCCGGTGACCGAGGACCCTCGCCGCCACTTCGCCGTCGCCCGCCGCCGCCGGCTCGCACGCATCCTTGCGCAGACTCCACGCGCCGACCTTGTGCTTGTTCATCCCAATCCTGGCGCCCGTCTCGATGAGGCGCCTGCACATGCGCCGCACCTGAAAGCTCTCCGTGAACAGGAAGTTGCCCGTGGCCTCGTCGACGGCGGGGAAGAGAGGCCGATCCAGCGCGGCCTCGTCCAGCACCCACCCGTCCTCGCGACTCGCCCTCACCAGCGACAGGAGCTGTCGTAGCCCGTGTCCTCGATCTCGAGCCCCGCAAAGCCACGCGGATCGGCCACCTTCCTTCGCAGCGCCGCCGCGTCGGCGCGGCTCAGGTGCGCATAACACGCCCGAAAGCTCCCGCATCGCACAAGCAGCCGCAGCATCGCCACCGTGCCGAGGCGAATCATCTGGTCCGAGTCGGGCGTGAGCGAGGTGCCGAACTCGTACTTCGCGTAGTACTCGCCCTTCTTCCGCCTGAACATCACCTCCATCCGGCTCAGCGCCTCGAAATCGCCCTCCATCCGCACTGCGCCCGCCTCGCCCTCCCCCGCGACCTCGTCCATGGTGATGAAGAGGTCGCCCATCTGAAGCGGCGGCAGCTCGTGCCAGGGGCTGTCGGCGTCCGCCAGGTCGTTCGCGTCGTTCATCGCCATCCCGGGACGGCAGCCCGTGTGACCTTCGCCGTTCCCAAGTACGCACACACGACGTGAGCCACGTTTGCTTCAAACGGCTCCGCCAGCGACGCGTCCTGCAGCTGGTACTCGCCGACCTGGTACAGGTGCTGCTTCGCGCACGGGTGGATCGTCGCCGCGCTCAGCTGCTCCACCGTCCGCTTGCTCGCCGCCGCGCTCGCCTGCGCGCGCTCGCCAGCCGCTGCTGGTGCGCGCTCTTCCCGCGCGCGGCGCTCTCGGCCGCCGCGGCTCGCCCCGCCGCCTTCCCTGCCTCCTCCGCCAGCATCTTCATCCCGCTGCCGCCGCCCTCGAACAAGGACATGACCTGGTCCCTCACCGACTTCCAGTACTGCCTCGCCTCCGACGTGCCGGCCGCTGGCATCGCCGGCCACAGCTCGCACCAGAGGTGGTTCTTCATGTGTTTGAGGGCGACCTCCACAGACTTCTCGCCGCGTCCGGTGCGCACAATCGCCTCGTCCCGCCGCGCGACACTCTCGACGGGAAAGTGCCAGCGGCTTGCCCTCGACGGCAGGACGCGCGTCGTCGCCAGCCACTGGCCGAACCGGATCGTCCAGCGAATGGTGGGGTGCGTGCCGCGCGAGGTCCGCAACATGGGCACGTCCTTGCCCTTCTTCGCCTGCTGGGCGAGAAGTCGCGCAGCCGGCGTCTCACGTTCACCAGTTGCCGCGACCGGCTCGGCCCGTGCGGCCTCAGCAAAGGCTGATCGTCCGCCCGCATGGCCTCCTCCTGCCGCTCGTCGTCCATCTCGTCGAGCAGGTCGGCCAGTTCGCTATGCTGCGCGGCCGCCGCGCGGCGATGCGCGCCCGCTCGCGTCCCCGCGGCGACCGCGTCCTCCTCGCCGCCGCTCTCCTCGCCGCCGCCCTCCTCGCCGCCGCTCTCCTCGCCCTCGGTGGAGGCCGCCGCATTCGTGCCGTTGGCTGGCGTCGGCATCGCGGTCGCGCGCCGCCACTGCTCGTCGTCAAGCATGTGCCAGTACTGCTCGCCCTGGTAGCCGTCGTATTCGACCTCGTGCACGAGCCGGCCGTCCACGTCCTCCTCCCGCCCCGCGATGGTGGCCGGCCACCACAAGCCTTGCTCACCCAGGATCTCGACGTGCGTTCCCGTCTCCACGATGGTGTGCCCCGCCTGCTTCGCCGTCTCGTCCACCCGCAGCCGCTCCCGCCGCTCCCTCTGGCCCTCCCTCGCCGTCGGAAGGGCGTAGTTCGGGCCGCTCTCCTCCACGCCGGCCAGGACGTCCGCGGCGCTCACCGCCTCGACGTCCGTCGCCTCCTCCGCCGCCGGCTCGGTCGAGCCGCCCGCCGCCTCCCGTTGTCGGCGCTGCCGCTCGCGCTCGTGGTGTGCTTCTCGGCGCTCGACGCCGCCGCCCTCGTGCACACACGCCGCCTGCGGTGCCATCTCGGCTTTCGCGCGCAAATTTTGTCCATTTTGCACAAATTCCGCGACAAAGCCCCTTCGAACGCGCGAAAGCGCCGGCTTTCGAAACTCGGCGCCCGCCCTCTTTCTGGCCGCGTCCCTCCACTGTCCAATCTTCTGCATTCCTCTTTTACATACACCGACCTTGTTTTCTTCTTGCACTCATGAGCTGCCGGCGCGTCCGTTGCGTCCACATATCGGTATCGTACTTACGACTCCGCCTTGCCGTTCCTGCCGCCTCGCACTCAGCTACGACGAACACGCACCCCGCTACCTCGCTCCGCCAGAGAGTGCAGTGTCTCGTGCTCTTCATCGCCTCTAAACGTCGACGCACTCGCCAACCCAATCAGCCCGCGCACGAAAGAGAGGCGCTCGTCCGGTACGGGACACACGGTCTCGTCTCCTACGCGCACGCGCTACAGCTACTGCGCGCGGTCTCGCCTCCCACACGCGACAGCGACTACGCCATCGACGCTCACGCGCCCCGGTCCCATCCCTGTTGTCATGGTGGCCCCCCCCCCCACCCCCCCCCCCCCCCCTCGCGCTCCTTCACACCTCCTGCGAGAGGCC